AAGTAAAAAACCCCTGACGATGGCATTTAAGGGGTATATAATTCTGTATATTCTAGAGCAGTAATAAATAGTTGTGTGTTTACATCTGTAGCACTCTTGTTTCTCGGCAAGAAGGTTCTGGGTTTGAATCCCTGTCAGAACGGGGTTTTTCTGAGGGGAGTTTGCATGATTTGCCAGGAATCCTCCAGGTGCTTCGGTTTAGCCAACCGCTAAAAACATGTACAATACGTCGACTTTGCTCCTATCTCTGTGAGAGAAAATGTCAGTGTTGCATCAGCTGTGACGGAACAGTAAAGAAGAAGCATATATAAAATCTCTAGCTTTAGCATAACAAAGAAGGAAGTATAAGAAAGCAATAGAAGCAAGTCTAAAATCTTTAACTTTAGCGTAATAAAAAAAGTAAGTATAAGAATGCAGTGGAAGCAAGTCTAAAATCTCTAACTTAGCAAAATAAAGAAGCAAGTCTAAAATCTCTAACTTTAGGATAATGAAGCAAGAATGAAGTATAATATTGACTTTAGCATGATGACAAAGCAAATAAGAAGCATCCCAGAATAAAAGTAACAATAAAAACTTGCTCACACGGAGAGATGAAGGCGAGGGGATGACAGGAGACGGAGTCTGTGCAGAGGCCCTTCAGCCGCAGAGCGTCTGGACACCCGCCTCGTGTGAACAGGCTTTCAGCTCGAATCATCTTCTTCACTTCCACCTATAATTGGCCATATGTGTCACAGCCGCCCTGCCGCCACCGCTGCAGGGGCCGGGGACGATCACAGCCGCGACAAGGTGATGGTGAGGCGGCTGCGGCTTTGACATGTCAGGTAGACTTTATCTTTGTCGCCTCCTCACCTCGGCTTCCACACCTGCTCATTTAGGCCCCGCTGTTCCAGGAGGGGCCGCTTCCATGAAACTACTTTGTCTAAGAGGCAGAGTGTAGCCAAGCAAAGGGCGAGATGAAGTATACACACCGTCAAAATAAAACTCTTTCTAAACTTTTTTGTCTGTTATGTCTGTATTTATGTTCACTTTTTGATTAAAAAAATAAATAGATCCATAAAAACAATTAAAACCTGGATCATGGACTTTCAGATTGGTAAAACGGTGGAGAACGGGACATTAAAATGAAAACAAAAACAAGGTGTGGGTAGTGTGTGTGGACAGGGAAGTCTCTGCTTACACTGCTGCCCCCGCGACCCGGCAACGGATGAAGCGGGAGAAAATGGATTGGATGGATGGAATTTTGACATCCAAATATCTCTGAAATACTATTATCAGTTTATAAGATGTATTGACATGTTGCTACTTTAACGGTGAATGATCCAATCAAAGTAAAACAGTTTGAATTGAAGATGGAGGGCTGTTTCACAACTTGTTTGCCAGTTTACTTTCCGTCTACAACAGCAGGCTCCCTCTGTGTAAATACACACATTGTCATTGAACAGGAAGATGTTCTACCATAAAGTTTTAATGATGTCAAAACTTGCTCAGTGTTTTTTTTTATCCTGAGACGCAAAAACTCTGGCTGTGACTGTGGATCTGCTTCTTTTTTCTTTTTCGCTATCACCAAGATGTGGTCGGGCACTGAACTCTGAAGTCCTTCACGGGCGGCGCGGACGTAATGAGATATTTATAAAGTCTCCAGTGGATCTGTGTAGTCGTACGGCGTACACTAAAGTCCACAGTGGATCATGAGACGACACTGAATACTCTGAATGTATAATGGCCCAAAGAAGCTCATGCATGTGGCTGTGGGCATTCATTAACCTTTAGCACCGCGGCTGCTACTGCTGCTGCTGCTGCTGCTGCTGCTGCTGCTGCTGCTACTGCTGCTGCTACTGTTGCTGCTGCTGCTGCTGCTACTGCTGCTGCTGCTGCTGCTGCTGCTACTGCTGCTGCTACTGTTGCTGCTGCTGCTGCTGCTGCTGCTGCTGCTGCTGCTGCTGCTGCTAACTGCTGCTGCTACTGCTGCTGCTGCTGCTGCTGCTACTACTGCTACTGCTACTGCCGCTGCTGCTACTACTACTGCTGCGCTGCTACTGCTGCTGCTGCTACTACTGCTGCTGCTACTACTGCTGCTGCTACTGCCGCTGCTGCTGCTATTGCTACTGCTACTACTGCTATTACTGCTATTACTGCTACTGCTACTACTGCTACTGCTATTACTGCTACTGCTGCTGCTACTGCTACTACTGTTATTACTGCTACTGCTGTGCTACTGCTACTGCTGCTACTGCTGCTTACCTATTTACATTAAGCACCATGCAAACGCACTCACACACTGGTATGATTATTGCACAGCTAAACTAAGTCAGGCACTAACACCAGAACATTTTTAAGTTCAAAATTGCTCACATTTTGCAGAATGTACCTTAATTTGAGCACATTCTGAAGGAGCCTTAAAACCAGATTAGTCAATGGGACAAAGCAAAATGATCTTGTTTTTAAAAAAATATGCTAAAAATGTCTTCTTTGCAATGACTAAATGGTTGTGTCCCATTGGAGAATCTTGCTTTGTCAGAATCAGATTAAAATAAAGACCAGTCAATTAACACCTCATATTTTTTCATTCTTTTGCCGTGCACAAACATTGAGTTATTCACACAGCAATCAGCAAGTATAATCTTAGTCTATAGTCGATTATATAAGTGCGATTCTAGCGTCTCCGAGCTGCTCTTTCCGTCAAATTACCAGTGAAAGCAGCGACACCGACACGTAGGAGAGGACCAGGGGTGCAAAGGTCGTATTGTGGAAATGGAGATTTTACGCCCATTTTTGTGAGTTTTAAATGATAAATGTCACAGGGGGTGGCAGGGGGCACAGAGGGGAGGGGTGCGCCGTGAAATAAAACGGAGATGATAATGAGCAGATGCTAAGTGGAGAGGGACTGATGCAGAGGTGCAGACGGAGCAGCAGCGAGAGGCCAGAGCCACCAGGGAGCTGCAGGCGCCATGGAGAGACGACAAGACCACGAGCCGCCTTCAGGCCGTCGATCAGCTGCGGTTTGGAAAGGACAAAGTAGATAAGGGTTTTGTTATGGCGTTCTTATAGTAAAGCTATATGAAATAACATCAAACTGTTCTGAGAGTAAGATATGAACTAATCTTTAATTCTTTATTCAAATTATGTGGGCGGCACGGTGGCTGAGTGGATAGCACTCTCGCCTCTCAGCAAGAAGGTCCTGGGTTCCAATCCCGGTTGGACCAGGGCCTTTCTGAGTGGAGTTTGCATGTTCTCCCTGTGTCTGCGTAGGTTTCCTCCGGGTGCTCCGGTTTCCCCTACCACTAAAAATATGTACAATAGGTCTGGCATGTGCCTCCTGTACTGGCCCCACTCCCAAAATAACAATTGTAAACCGCTTTGAGACTCTGATGTGCAGTGAAAAGGCGGTATATAAATAAAGATTACTTACTACTTACTTACTACTTACAAATACAGCACATATACTTTGGAATGTGGGCGACAGTAGCTCAGTTGGTAGAGCATTGGCCTTAAGGCCAGAAGGTCGTGGGTTCAATTCCCACCTCTGCACCTTCTCCACCGACTCCCACTGATGACTGCTGTCGTTGTGTCCTTGGGCAAGACACTTAACCCCACTTTGCCCAAAGCCCCCACTGAAAGATCAAGGCTATGCTCGCAGTCAGAGAGCAGCCGCCCTCCTGTGGACTGTGCTTTAGAATTTTTATTTTTCTACCTGAGACGTTGTTGCAGTCTTAACAAAGTAGATCAGGTGATAATCCACTGGAGGAATGCTAACTTTTTGAAAAATGCTAATGAAGCATTTAGCATTTTACTTGGCTACTCCACCTTGTGGCCCGTCCTGCTCCACCTCTGCTGCTGTGACCTGAAGGGCTGTTGCTGATGATTACTATTGTTATCTTTTTATAATTATCAATGAAATGTTTTATTTATACTGCTACTGGACACCTGAATTTCTCCTCCGGGGATCACTAAAGTATCAATCTATCTGTCTTATCTGTGTCCTGTTAGATCGGTCGTCAGCCATTTAGACTTAAACAGACTTTATTGATCCACAGAGAAATTGCATTGTCACAGCAGCTTGCATATATTCCACGATCAAAACAACAATGAAAATAACAATAGAGAAACAATCTGAACATAAGAATAATAATAAGATAAAACTGTGAGAGTAGAATAATCTGGATATAGGTGTTTTTTTTATTAATTTTTCAGTGGCAAGTAACAATAGAATTGATGAGTAGTTCACAAAGGTCCAATTACATTTGTCAATCAAGCAGAATAAATAAAGTTGAAAAGTTTTCACTCATCTTTGTGTATCTCATAATAAATCGTTTTCTGGTTCTTTGTAAAGAGATGTTGCTCCTTATCTTTCTGCTTCACACTGAAACATCCAGAATAGTCTCTGTATACTTCTGACTCTATCTACTCACAGTGAAAAAAAGACACGATAAAGGTTTTTGAGCTACAATATTATAATGTGGGACAGGTGCGGCTTATAATCCAGTGCAAAATTCAATTTCTTTCTAAAGCGTAAGTTTTTTTCCGTCTCTGTCATGTGACGGAAAAGAGGAAAGACCCAAAATACAAGAATACAAAAAATGAGGCATAAATAATCATAATTTTCATCCCTTTATTTCCATTTCTGGGTCAGGGGCAATCAGAGCTGCCACCCAATACACAATGCACCAGGCCCTCACTGATCCTCTGCAGGTGGTGGGTCCACAGGATGATGGCTGTTTCTTCAATGCAGATTCAGCCTTGGTCTTTCAGTGGGGTCAAGGGTCTTGCCCAGGGACACACCGACAGCAGACATCAGTGGGAGCAGGTGACATGGGTCGTGGGGGACCAACGCTCTACCAACTGAGCTACTGTCGCCCGACACCTAATGCTAACCCTAACCCTAACCCTAACCGATTATGAAATAAAAGTCCAAACAAACAGACTACACAATGGACCAGCAACACAGGGCGAGAGGAGCACAGGTACAAATAGACTAAGGGTGTCCAACCTGTAGCTCGCTCCTACCTGTAGCTCGCTCCAACCTGTAGCTCGCTCCAACCTGTAGCTCGCTCCAACCTGTAGCTCGCTCCAACCTGTAGCTCGCTCCTATCTGTAGCTCGCTCCAACCTGTAGCTCGCTCCTACCTGTAGCTCGCTCCAACCTGTAGCTCGCTCCAACCTGTAGCTCGCTCCAACCTGTAGCTCGCTCCTACCTGTAGCTCGCTCCAACCTGTAGCTCGCTCCAACCTGTAGCTCGCTCCAACCTGTAGCTCGCTCCAACCTGTAGCTCGCTCCTACCTGTAGCTCGTTCCTACCTGTAGCTCGCTCCAACCTGTAGCTCGCTCCTATCGTAGCTCGCTCCACACCTGTAGCTCGCTCCAACCTGTAGCTCGCTCCTACCTGTAGCTCGCTCCAACCTGTAGCTCGCTCCAACCTGTAGCTCGCTCCTACCTGTAGCTCGCTCCAACCTGTAGCTCGCTCCTACCTGTAGCTCGCTCCAACCTGTAGCTCGCTCCTACCTGTAGCTCGCTCCAACCTGTAGCTCGCTCCTACCTGTAGCTCGCTCCAACCTGTAGCTCGCTCCAACCTGTAGCTCGCTCCTACCTGTAGCTCGCTCCAACCTGTAGCTCGCTCCAACCTGTAGCTCGCTCCTACCTGTAGCTCGCTCCAACCTGTAGCTCGCTCCTACCTGTAGCTCACTCCAACCTGTAGCTCGCTCCAACCTGTAGCTCGCCAGCCCCTTTCAGGTTTCAGTAGATTATGTACATGTCATTTGTGAAAGGCAACTATAAATCTGTTATTTTTCAGAATCTTTTCCGAGGACAGACGCAGCAGCTGTGGACGTGGGCTGCTCCGGTGCTTTGACATTGTTTATTTGCTCCATCAGAATCCGTAATAATAGAGTGCTCGGAAATAATGACGTGTTTTTGTGGCATCGTTTTCTGCTCATTTCCATCTGACACAAAACGACAGATTTCTGTTACAACTCCACAACATGTGCACCGTGAGTGAGACGTTTGACTGAGTGACATAAAGACTGCATCATTGTCCCGTGACCCGCCATGTCCCGTGACCCGCCATGTCCCGTGCCCCGCCATGTCCCGTGCCCCGCCATGTCCCGTGCCCCGCCATGTCCCGTGCCCCGCCATGTCCCGTGACCCGCCATGTCCCGTGACCCGCCATGTGCCGTGCCCCGCCTTGTCCCGTGACCCGCCATGTCCCGTGCCCCGCCATGTCCCGTGCCCCGCCATGTCCCGTGACCCGCCATGTCCCGTGACCCGCCATGTCCCGTGACCCGCCATGTCCCGTGCCCCGCCATGTCCCGTGCCCCGCCATATCCCGTGCCCCGCCTTGTCCCGTGTCCTGCCATGTCCTGTGACCCGCCATGTCCCGTGCCCCGCCATGTCCCGTCCCGCCATGCCCCGCCATGTCCCGTGCCCCGCCATGTCCCGTGCCCCGCCATGTCCCGTGACCCGCCATGTCCCGTGCCCCGCCATGTCCCGTGACCCGCCATGTCCCGTGACCCGCCATGTCCCGTGCCCCGCCATGTCCCGTGCCCCGCCATGTCCCGTGCCCCGCCATGTCCCGTGCCCCGCCATGTCCCGTGCCCCGCCATGTCCCGTGCCCCGCCATGTCCCGTGCCCCGCCATGTCCCGTCCCCGCCATGTCCCGTGCCCCGCCATGTCCCGTGCCCCGCCATGTCCCGTGACCCGCCATGTCCCGTGACCCGCCATGTCCCGTGACCCGCCATGTCCCGTGACCCGCCATGTCCCGTGCCCCGCCATGTCCCGTGACCCGCCATGTACAGTGCCCCGCCATGTCCCGTGCCCCGCCATGTCCCGTGCCCCGCCATGTCCCGTGCCCCGCCATGTCCCGTGACCCGCCATGTCCCGTGCCCCGCCATGTCCCGTGCCCCGCCATGTCCCGTGCCCGCCATGTCCCGTGCCCGCCATGTCCCGTGCCCCGCCATGTCCCGTGCCCCGCCATGTCCCGTGCCCCGCCATGTCATGTCCCGTGCCCCGCCATGTCATGTCCCGTGCCCCGCCCCGTCATGTCCCGTGCCCCGCCATGTCCCGTGCCCCGCCATGTCCCGTGCCCCGCCATGTCCCGTACCCTGCCCCGCCTTGTCCCGTGCCCCGCCATGTCCCGTGCCCCGCCATGTCCCGTGCCCCCGCCATGTCCCGTGCCCCGCCATGTCCCGTGCCCCGCCATGTCCCGTGCCCCGCCTTGTCCCGTGACCCGCCATGTCCCGTGACCCGACTTGTCCCGTGCCCCGCCATGTCCCGTGCCCCGCCATGTCCCGTGCCCCGCCATGTCCCGTGCCCCGCCATGTCCCGTGCCCCGCCTGTCCCGTGCCCCGCCTGTCCCGTGCCCCGCCATGTCCCGTGCCCCGCCTTGTCCCGTGCCCCGCCATGTCCCGTGCCCCGCCATGTCCCGTGCCCCGCCATGTCCCGTGCCCCGCCATGTCCCGTGCCCCGCCATGTCCCGTGCCCCGCCATGTCCCGTGACCCGCCATGTCCCGTGCCCCGCCATGTCCCGTGCCCGCCATGTCCCGTGCCCCGCCATGTCCCGTGACCCGCCATGTCCCGTGCCCCGCCATGTCCCGTGACCCGCCATGTCCCGTGACCCGCCATGTCCCGTGCCCCGCCATGTCCCGTGACCCGCCTTGTCCCGTGCCCCGCCATGTCCCGTGCCCTGCCATGTCATGTCCCGTGCCCCGCCATGTCCCGTGCCCAGCCATGTCCCGTGCCCCGCCATGTCCCGTGCCCCGCCATGTCCCGTGCCCCGCCATGTCCCGTGACCCGCCATGTCCCGTGCCCCGCCATGTCCCATGACCCGCCATGTCCCGTGCCCCGCCATGTCCCGTGCCCCGCCATGTCCCGTGCCCCGCCATGTCCCGTGCCCCGCCATGTCCCGTGACCCGCCATGTCCCGTGCCCCGCCATGTCCCGTGCCCCGCCATGTCCCGTGACCCGCCATGTACCGTGCCCCGCCTTGTCCCTGGCACACAGCACGGAGCACAGATGTGAGCTCTTTGGGATTTGGCCATTTCCAAAACCCCCGTCCGCCTGTTGTTGCAGCCCACTCTGGTTTGTGACATTTCAGTTTTCACACATGCTTGACCAGTTGGTGTGAACGTTTGGACAAATCTATGGGAGTCAAAGTCAAGGCCCGAGGGTCAGATACGGCCCGCAAATGAATGATCTTCGGCCCCTAGGATTATATTTGATTTGTATCAAAACCGGCCGCACAAAGACATAAGAAACAAGTGGATTATTAATTTCAAGTTCAGGACGTGTGTTTTCTCTTTGAAGGAAGTTTATTTGGTCTGTTAAAGCAGTATTATGTAAAACTCTGACCAAAAGTGGTACTGCAGCCTCTCCCACTCTCCCTGACTCAGGTTGCCAGATATGCAGACGAATCCAGCTGGGACCATAACAGCTGAATAGACAAGAGTTTTGTCAACAATAAATATATAACCAACACCTTTTTCACAAAGGCCTTGATAGAAATGAGAATTATAAAACGACTTTTTTGAGTTCTGCGGTCACATGTTACTTTACCAGTGAGATTAGCTCGACGCGGTGAGTTCTAACAACCCAGATTGTTGACCCCCTGATGCACTTGACTTTGACATCCCTGGACAAATCCAAATTAAGTCCAACCAAACAAATAATTTTACAGGACTTATATTTTTCTTTTGTTTACTTACTTATAAACACCCCCAAACTCAATACAATAGTACATCAGTAACATCTGCTGGAGCTGAAGTTACCTGAATGATGTGTGCTTATTTGATCTTGATTGCAAAGGAAGGTTGCTCACCCATCATCAGTTCTTCAGCAGGTTTTCCCGACGTTTCGTTCTTAATCCAAAGAACTTTGTCGAAGAAATGAAAGCTCCTGAGAAAGTTGAAAGCTTCATTTGTTTTGAAAAATCCCTGAACGACTGAGAGTTTACACAAAATATCTTGATTGGTCGACATTTTCAACTTCATGCTTTGAGCTGCAGACGTTTTACAGAATATGATATCAGATATTTTGGTTTAAAATAAAAGTAAAGTGACCCATTCTGAGATTAAGAATATAAAATGACGTATAGATTACAAAATGAAGCTGTGGAGACTAGATAACCCCATCATTCACTGTTAAATATTGCCGTTGTGGATATATTGTCTTCCTAGATCTCTGTTGTACTGTAGCAACAGATTTCTCTCTGATATAAAACTGAAAACAACACTACAACGGCTCATTTAGAACCTCAAAAACACCAAATGAATTCAAAATGATAAAAACATCTCACACCACGCCTACTGCAAGTTTTTGTCTGATTTTCAGTTTTCAGGATCCAGTTTACCTCTTGTTGACCTGCAGGTGGATATGACAAAGTGGAACAGAAGGCCTCAGAGTGGGTGCTGGTGTGTGTAGAGCGTGGGTGACATTAGGACAGCTCTGGTTTGAAGAGGTTCTGAGAGAATGAGAGAGACTGATCTGGCTCCGTGTCCACAGCGACATGGACCAAAAGGACGGGCCGCCATCTGCCGTCCGTCCTTTCAACCAAACTCACTGCTAAGAAATACCATAAGCTCCTCTCACTAATATTATGGTGGGGTTTCTGATTATCTAAATTATGGTTTGCTCCTATTGCTGTATTTTATTACATGGTTTGTGTTGCTAGTTTTATCACGGTGTGGATTTTGTGTTTTGTGGTTTAGTCCCACTGATTTTGCGAAATGTTGAAGTTTGGAATTACTTTGGAATATTATGATGATGTTAATGCGGAGTAGATTCAGTGATTATTTATGATCAAAAAGTTAGCATTCTTACCAGTACAAAACCATAAATACTTTACTGCAGCAACATCTCAGGTAGAAGAAAAACAATTATAAAACACAAAAAAACAAATACCTCAGAGCTAGCCTGGTCGTACCACACCATAGTACAAATTACATTTCATACTAAGGTCTGGAGGTGCTCCATTGGGCTCCGTTCACAGGTGGGAGGGGTTAACTCCTTTTACAGATTGAAACGATTGGATCGGAGTTTACCGTGACGTATGTTATGCGTCCGAGTCTGTTGTTAGCATTTAGCCTAGCTTTAGCCATCTCCTTTGCCGCTAACGGAGCCCGTGGGGAGTAGCGCCACAGTCTTTACCAGCGATTACATTTGCTAAACATTCCTCTTGCTCCTGCTTCAATTTCTTGATAGAACCAGACCGGATTACTTTATTATCGCATTCTTCGCCACTGCCAAACTACAACCTGCCCGTTCGGCGCAAACTCTTGACGTCACCGGCACCGACCTACAACGCGCTCGCTGATTAGCCGGTCGAAGTTCAGCCGATTGTAATCGCTAAGACGGGGACCAGACCCAGACGTTACATGCAGTGAAATGATGATTGAGCGGAGTGTACGGATGGAGAAGACCAGGCTACCTCAGAGCTACTTAGAACTTGCTGCCGTTTCCATCGCATTCTGCACATTCTGACATTATTAAAGTTATTATTGCACAATACAATACAATTTATTGCTGGGCTGGTGCTATGAGACTTGGGTGGCATCTCTGACTGCCACCCCCCTGACCCAGAAATGGATTAAAGGGTAGAAAATGGATGGATGGATGGATGGATGGACAATACAATTTATTCTTGTATAGCCCTAAGTCACAGCAGAAGTCATCTCAAAACCATTGAAATCACCAACACAGATCAGAGAATCGACAGATAAAACACACACAGAAAAAAAAAAGTCCATATATGTTGTAGAATGTTAAAGTAAAGTGACAGTGGACGCTTTGAGTTTTCTTGTGTATAAAGTGTGCTATAACAAATAAACTTGCCGTGCTGAAAGTTCTTGTTTGTTGCGTGCGAGCCGTGCATTGGCATCGTGACATGTCTGACACCTGCTGCAGCCTATCTATACCCGTCCTATCCCCGCCACGTACACCTGTGCCCATCCCTCCTCTATATATCACAATCTGCTCTGAAGATAGACGCGAATCTGCTTTGGGATTATGTTCTGTGGGCTGCTAATAATGTTGAAGAGTCTCCAGAGCGCTTACTCCCGCAGCAACGGTGCAATAAAGCCAGAAGCTGGAAAAATACACGGCTATTTAATGGAAACTGGAGCTGCTGTTGCTATATTTATTACAGGTACAGCGATCCTGGGTTTGTGTCAGTGTGGCTTCTCTCTCTCTCTCTCTCTTTCGCCCGTCAGCTCGACTTGGAGGAGACTTGGCATCTGCTGTTGCCGGTGTGTGCTCCCTGCCGCCTCCCACGCCACACAGCCAAGAAGAGCATGTGCATCACCGTGAATGCTGTTAAAAGTGACACTGGGTTATGCAGCACAAAACCACTGACATGGACCAAAAACCGTTGTGTGTGTGTGTGTGTGTGTGTGTGTGTGTGTGTGTGTGTGTGTGTGTGTGTGTGTGTGTGTGTGTGTGTGTGTGTGTGTGTGTGTGTGTGTGTGTGTGTGTGTGTGTGTGTGTCCTGAGAGAAAGACCAAACTGCAAACAGTCTAGTCATCCGGAGACAGTTGGTGTCGTGGTGTGGGCTTTTTGAATACTTTAATCTGGTTTTATTTTGATTTGTTGGTGCTTTGTGTGTTGCTTGTGTGTGTATAAACACACACACTGTTAGATCTAAGTGCTGCCTTTGACACTGTCGACCATGAGATCCTCTTACAGAGACTAGAGGACTGGGTTGGCGTCGCTGGCACCGCCCTAAGTTGGTTTAGGTCTTACCTTGAAGACAGGAAGTACTTTGTGGAGATTGGAAACTGTGTCTCAGATCATATGGCCCTGACCTGTGGAGTCCCACAGGGGTCGATCCTGGGACCTCTTCTGTTCAATCTCTACATGCTGCCGTTAGGTCAGTTAATACGCAGAAACAAAGTTTCCTATCATAACTATGCAGACGACACTCAGATCTAAGTCTCACTGACTGCAGGAGAACATGGACCAGTGGACTCACTTCTTCACTGTATCCAACAGATCAGTGAGTGGATGCAAAACAACTTCCTTCAGCTAAACGCAGACAAAACTGAAATGATTGTCTTTGGTCCCCAGAAACAAAGAGAGAGCGTCATCTGTCACCTACAGTCTCTCTCCCTAAAACCTTCAAACAAGGTCAGAAATCTAGGGGTAATACTGGACTCAGACTTAAATTTTAATAGCCACATCAAATCAGTAACATCAGCAGCTTTTTACCATCTAAAAAACATTGCCAGGATCAAAAACATTGTGTCTAAAGCAGACCTGGAGATTCTTATCCATGCATTTGTCTCCAGTAGGTTAGACTACTGCAATGGCCTGCTCACAGGTCTGTCCAAACAGGCTGTAAAACAGCTGCAGTACATTCAAAATGCAGCAGCTCGAGTCCTGACTAGAACCAGGAAGTACGGCCATATTAGTCCGGTCCTCAGGTCTCTGCACTGGCTTCCTGTGGCTCAGAGAATAGACTTTAAAACAGCTCTGCTTGTTACAAGTCTCTCCATGGCCTCGCACCAAAATATATTAGTGACATGTTAGTCCCATATGAACCAGCCCGGACTCTGAGGAGCACAGGGACTGGACTCCTGTTAGTGCCCAGAGTCAGGACTAAACATGGG